GGGGGGAAGGGAAGGGGAGGGGAAGGGGAAGGGAAGGGGAAGTGAGAGAAACCTTTGTCAGATACATGCATAGAGATATGTTCTCCCAATCTGCAGCTTGCCTTTTCATTATTTTATTGATATCTTTAATCAGAATAGAAGTTCTAAATTTTAATATAATCCATATTTTTTGATCAATTCCTTTATGGTTGGTGCTTTATGTGCCTTTTTAAAAAACATCTTTGTCTATTCTGAAATTAGGAAGAAATGTTATCTTCATGTTTGTACCTTCCACACTTATGTCTATGATCCATCTCCTGTTAACCTTTGTGTGTCGTGTAGAGTAGGGGCTACAGATCTTTTTTTCATGTGGATATCCAACAAACCCATCACCATATATAGAAAAGATAATCTCTTTTTCACTGCACTGCAATGTCACTGTTGTCATAAATCAAATGACAATCCTATGAAGCTGTGTTTGGGGCTCCTTATTCTGTTCCTTTGTCTACTTGTCTGCCCTTGTGTTAATAACCCATTGTTCTGATTACATTTGCTTTAATGTAGATCTCGAGAATTGGCATATAAATCCTCCAACTTGCACTCCTCCCTCAAGATTGTCTTGGTCCTTTGTAGTACATATACACTTTAGCATAGCTTTGACAGTCTCTCTCTCTCTCTCTCTCTCTCTCTCTCTCTCTCTCATGCACATATACACAACTAACCGCTAAACAATATTAATAACAAAATAAATAATAATGTAGTTAAATACTGAAATAATAAATATCCACACAACCACACGATATCAAGGAATTAGTGAATAATAAATAGATGAGGAAAGACAGCTCTTCCTTATAGAAGAATTCCAAATAATAAATCTAGAAAGATAAGGGGAAATAGAAAATCACCCTTATGCACCATAGTAAAATCTGCTGCAAGCAAATTCCACTGATGAATGCAAAATTAGTGGGCAAAACTTCAAGGAAAAACAAGATATTTGCAAGCCTTAACATATCGCCCCTAAGATTCTTACTAATTACTGTGGTGGGTTTAACATATCCACAAATTCATAACACGCCTCCCTTCTGGAGGTGGAGCTTAACTCTTCTTAGCTTGAATGTGAACTGGACTCAGGGACTGGCCTCTAACAAATAGGGTCTGGAAAGAAGAAAATTGTAATTTTATAGTAAAGAAACCTAGCAGACACCATCTTAACCAAGTGATCAATATGGGCATCACCATTAACAAGACATATTGATGTCATGTGCCCCGATACCATGCAATGCTCCACCTCTATGCTGTTTGTCCCCAAAATCCATAACCCCATGATATCATTTGGCTCTGTGTCCCCACCCAAATCTTATCTCGAATTGTAAACCCCAGGTGTCAAGGGAGAGAAGTGATCGGGTTAGGGAGGTGCTTTCCTCCCTGCTGTTCTCATGGTGAGTGAGTGAATTCTCACAAAATATGATGGTATTACAAATGGTAGCTTTTTCTGTGCTCACACACACCCTCTCTTGCCTGCCTCCACGTAAGATGTGTCTGCTTCCCCTTCCACCCTGACTGTAAGTTTCCTGAGGACTCCACAACCATGAGGAACTGTGAGTCCGTTAAACCTCTTTTCAACCTGTTTACAGATTACCCAGTCTTGGGTAGTATCTGTATAGCAGTGTGAGAACTAATACACCCCATTTCCAATGCTCAGAAAACCTCAGAGAATACCAAGTTAAAGAACATTCTAAAAAATCACTGACCACTAGTATCCAGAAGTGTCAAGGCCATGAAAGAAAAAGAAGGCCTGCAGAGCCATCTTGAATTGTTGGAAAGCAAGGAGATGTGACAATTAATTGCAGTGTGAGATCCTGGATTTGGACCCTGCACCAGAAAAGGAACATCGGCAGGTAGGCCAAAATCTGGTTAAGTCTGAATTGTAGTTAATAGCAATGCACCAATGTTAATTTCTTAGTGTGACACATGTACCATGGCTATGTAAGAAGCCAACATTAAGAGAAGGTGGATGAAGGTACATGTACCTCTTTGTGCCAGCTTTATGACTTTTCTGGAAATCTAAAATTATTCAAAATCAAAAGCTCTGACATATTTTCTAGAAAACATGTGCAGCAATCTCTTCGGAGTAATTACCAGGTGAATGTATGCAAGCAGGTCCATTTTCTATTTTATACATTTCTGAGTATGGCTTTTATCCTTCTTTTTGAAACAGAACATTTATATTAGAAAATATTTGGATTTTTAAGGTGTTACTTTGGGAATTAAGCATGGAGAAAGGTTGGCTTAAAAGCTGACACCTGAAAAGAGAGAAAGCTTTTGTTTGGGGACAAAAGTTTCTAAAATTTTCTGCATGTTTTAAGTTAACAAAGGCACCATTTTGGCATCTGAATTGTGTCTTAGGCTAAAGGTACAATAGGAACACAGAAGACAGTTACTTACCAGGGTGACTTTTCTCTGTGGTTTCAGCAGCTTTGGTTTATGGAACGTGGGGGCTATCGGAGCTGTGGAAGCAGGTCAAGGGTTTAGCTTTCAGTTCCTCTCAGAACTCTTAGTGGCTACATATCATGAGCATCAGGGACATGCTCTGAGAGGTCTTGGACCCCTTCCTGGTCCCAAGGAAGAACTTTCTGATCTAGGCATCGTCAGGCGTCTGTCCCTCCGTGGGAGTGATCCTCCCTTAGTCTTTGAATGTGTTGTCATTTCCCTCAGTAAGGTCAACAAAACAACTCTGCATAAAACTCTGCCAGATACGCAGATGTTGGGTGTGAAGGTGAGAACCAGATGCACCCAGTGAAGGCTGAAGCTGGGACCTTCCCTGGGAGACTCCTTCCTACCCACATACTAGTGCTGATAGCAATAACTCTTGATCCTCACAGCAGCCCTGTGAGGTCATCAGGGAGGGTTTTATTGTCCTCACTTAACAGAAAAAGAAAGTGAGGTCCTTCCCTCTATGTCATATAACCAGTCCTGAATCATTTAGGATTTGAACTTGGCATTGAAAGCGAGGCTCTGCCACTTACCTCTCTTAAGTCTCACTTTAAACTTTTGTAAGGGTGGGTAATGTCTACTGTGGAACGAATGGCATTGAGTGGTGTGACGCCTGACTCAGGCAGGCATTTCTCTGCTCCCTTCCCTCCCAGGTCTACGCTTTTCATCCCCCTGCAGTATGACCACGCCCTCCAGCCCTTCTTTCCACTCCAGTGCTCAGCCTCACCACCACTGGCTTCTCCATAGGGCTTGATGTGTCCCTAGGGGACAGCCTGCAAAGCCCCAGCTGAGGGATAACATCGTTCATTTGGGCAATCCTTGTATTACCCCAACTATATTTCAAATTTGCTGGGGTATGAATATCTCCTAAACTGACCAGTTATTTTAGGAACTGTATATAATCAGTCTTGGCTCTCCTAATACTCTTGCAGTTCTTTCCTCCAGAAACACCCATCTTCCTCACTTACAATGCACTAAATCATAACTGGAATCACAGGATAGCCCTCATTTTATACCCAGAACAAATTTAAAATAAGCTGGACACCTGGTTGACACTTTTAAAAATTCAGAGAGCCTTTCTTCCCTGAATGAACCAAGAAGACTTCCTCATCTCACCCCTCCATGTGTGGCACATTTTAATAGTCCAAAGTGAAACCCAATCCGGAGGCATCTGTGGGTGTTGATCTTACCCCTGCTCAGGCTATGCGAGGTTCTTGCCTCCTTCTCCACCTCCACCCCCAACCCAGATACTGGGCTAAGGGCTGAGATGGTTGGGCACCAGTTATGCCCAGAATCTAGGTGGTGGTCCAGACTATATAATCATTAAATTTTATGTCATATTCCCCATCTGCCTATGCTCCCTGTCCTAATCCAACATGGAACCCCTGACCCACATGGATCAATAATGACAGTTTCCAGGTAAGAAACTGCAGGCCAGCTCCTTACCTTTGGCAGGGACTGCAGGAGGAACGTCAGGCTTCTCCTTCTGCCTCTTGCCCTTCTTGGGCTGTAGTGGGGCCAAGCTGGTCACGCTAGTGACAGTCTCCCCTGAGCTGAAGAAGAAAAAGATTCCGGTGAAGCCAAAGGCAGATTTGTTGCAAAGGAGAAAGGAAAAAAAAAAAAAAACCCACAATAGCTTCCAATAGTTTCTGAGTGCTCCCTGTGTACCTATGCAAGGGAAGGTTATCATACGGGTAGACTAGAAGTGCTCTGTTCTTTTTTTGGATTTAATTATTTAACTCTTTAATATAAAATGGAAGTTTCTGGAACATCATTTTTATTCACTTGTAACATCATGTTCAGGGATTTCCTTAAGCTGAAAAAGACCTGCTTTGTCACCATAATTTTTCTTCAAAACAGTAAAACTGCACTGAATTTAATTTTAATTTGTATTTCAACAATTTGATCTCATTTGGACAATGAATCACCACCTTGACATAGGACAGAGTCTTTCTCTCAGAATCTTGTGTCTCTCCTTGAGCCAGCAGGACTGGTAGAAATTTTTGGCTAAGAAAGTCCATCTTATGATTAACTTACAAGAAAAGTTATTCTACATCTCGGTTTGGAACGGGGCTATATTTTATCTCTGACAAAAGAGAGCAAGCCTTGTTGAAGTGAGTCAAACCAAGAAAGACAGAAAACAGGCCCGCCCGGTAACTCCTTCTAAATTAGAGAGCTGTTTGATTAGAGAGAAGTGCTATTTGTGGGAGCCCGTTGTGGGGCAAGGCTATTTTTCTGGCTCCAACCAGGTCAGGAAGGATGTCGCACGTGCAGAGGCCTTGCTGTAAGAGGTACCAGCTTCCGGCCTGGCCGCCTCGGAGAAGGAGCTTCTGTCCCACAGGGACGTGGCATTTCTGCTCCATGACACACAGTGGCTGGATTGAGTGAATAGGCGCTGAGCTGAACAGGGGTCAAAAAGCCACTAACGCTAATTCTACTCTGACTAGAGAGGTGACCTTGGCTTACTTACTCACTTCCCCGGGTTTCCATCCACCAATCTGTAAGATGGGAGGCATATCCTGGCTATCTATATTTCAGGGTTATGAAGGTCAGATGAGAGGGTAGTGCCTAAATTAGATGGGGTGTGAAACGGCTAAATAGCAACCGGCCCCAGTCTCCAGTGTGCAGGTGCAGTGTAGATGTTTCATGTTAGTACCCAAGGGAGGATGCTGCCACTTGGGTATTTCATGGTGCCCATGTTTCAGCCCTGTGAGGAGGGCTGCAAGTTTCAACTCAGACCTTGATAAGGAAGTCTTCCTGCCCAGGATAGTACAGCAAAACATCCCCTAGACAGCTGCCCATCACTGATAGAGTGATGCTGGAAAGCACCACAGCAGGACAGACTAAGCAGGTCATGAGAGAGGCTGCATTCCTGAGTGATGGGTAGTGGCTCCAGAACACCAGGCAAAGCAGCCGACCTAGATTTCTCAAGGTATTGAACAAATTCTGAGCAATCATATTTTTTAGAAACTAAAGTTAACAAATGTAACAGCTATGTTTGTGTCTATCCTATGCAAGGCACTGTGGAAACAGCTTGGTATCCATAACCTCTGGCCCTACTTGTTGCAAAAATGGGGCCTCAGAGAGATCCGGGTCCTTCCCAAAGGTCACCAGCTGGGAAGGGGACATGGGAATTGATCCATGTCAGCGAGCTTCCTCTGGCCCTGAAGTAAGGACACAGGACCCAGCCCAGACAACAGATAACAAGAAAACTGGAAGAGGAACAAGGTTAATAGAGCCAGAACTACAGTGGCTTCTCCCAGTTTAAACCATCTCCCTAAAGAGGAAGTACCAGAAGGAGACATCAACATTCCACAGCATTTCAAGTCCGATATAGATTCAGTGTGGGGAACCCAGAGCACCATCGAAGCTGCTCAAACTCCTGCCCCAAAGGGAAGAGGAGAGGCCAACCCAGGTACTGGGGTCTTGAGGACTGAGAATGTGGCTGGTGCTCAAGACCCAGGACCATCCTGGGAAGGATGGGCAGAGAAGGAGGAGGGTATGTGCCTGGAAATTGTCTGGAACAAGTGATATCAGCTGCCAAAATGAAGGTGGCTAACCAGGTGGGGATTTTGTGCCTCCAGCACTAAGAGTATTTGGGAGCAGAAGGCGGGGAGCAGGAGGAACAGCAGAAACTGAGCTGATTCCACCAAAGTACATAATTATAAACAAGAAGCATGCATCCAGCCACACTCTGCTTTCAAAACTAAATGTGAGATCAAAGCAACTTGTGCTGAACCACAGTGCCTGTGGCATCACGAGTCCTCACCCCTGCCTCTAATGTCCCTGGGCCATCAAATGGTCTTTCTAATATGGCCTGTCTGGGATGTGCAGCGAACCGTGTAAGCCAAGGGACTTTCATATATCCAGCCATCTCAAAGACGCCAGGTGCTTCCTCTGGCCCAGGGCAATCTTTGCACCTGGACATATGAATTACAAATCAAAATGCTGCTTTGACATCTGTTCAATCTTACTCCTTGAATGAGTACGTACCCCTCCTCCTGGGCACAAAGCTGTCTGTCACACACTCCAAAGGGATTTACTGTGGTCTGACCTGGGACACCTAGGGATGTTGCATGTTTTTGTCAAGCCAAAGATCCCCATCCAGAAACCCTTAGTGCATGAGGCTAAGGGAGCTGTGTTGGCCCCAGTCCTGCCAACATCCTTCCAGGCCCCCTGAGCTCTTCTTGCTCCACACATCTTTGAAAAGCATAGCTTCAGCTGATTATTTTACTTCCAGAAACGTCCATGTGTTTCCTGTCTTCCTGCCTATCTCGGCTCTGACAAGAAGGATGTCTGACACAGATGAGGTAGGGATCCATCAGTTCCTTTACAAGCAGCTCTATGGCCCCCTTCCAAGATTTCACACAGCACACTTGCCACCCCATAACCCTGTGCCCAGAGCATTATGTGCAGAATCTTGAAGGGGAAGCACTAGTCTCTACAACTATGGTGGCAATGCCATTATCTTTTAAAGTAAAATGAACAATATTAACAACTATAGATACTCCTTCTCCCCAAGGTCAGCTGCCATTGATAAAGGCCAAGGACTCACGCAAACAGGACAAGTTTCCTGAAGTCCCACCTTAGGCTTTTTGAACTTGCTCCAGCTGCTTTCCCTGCCACTGAAACACACAAAGTTAATTGTGGCCGTATGCCAGGAGCTGCTTAAAAGTGGCAGAACTTCGCTTTCAGGATGGATGAATGGTGTCGCCCACTCACAGGGACTCTTTGAAATGATTCTTTTCCATTAAGTGGGTGACACAAGCCAAGCACATGGAATCGTATGGTGATAGTAAGTGCTTACTGGGAGTCACCTATCATGACCCTACCAGCATTATTCTCGTCATTATTACCATGGAATCTGCTCTCTGAGCCCTTGAATTGGGAACAGGGCAAAGCAGTATTCTCTGCAACCCAAGCAAGTGCCTACACACCCAGAAAGGACACCTGACCCCTGTGTGTCAAGGAGCTGCGCTCTCTGCTGCATCTGCTCCGTGACATTTCTGCACACATCCTCTGCACAGCATTAGAATAAAACCTGCTCCTTTATGAGGTATTTGTCAACCCATCTCCCTGTCCACAGTGGCCCCATGGCCTTTACGGTAAATGCCTCTAGTGCCTTCCACCCACCAATCTGTAAAATGGGAGGCATATCCTGGCTATCTATCTTGCAAGGTTGTAAGGGTCAGATGAGAGAGTAGTTCCTAAATTAGATGGGGTATAAAACGGCTAAATAGCGACTGACCCTAGTGTCCAGTGTGCAGGTGCAGTGTGGACGTTTCACGGTACTACCCAGGGAGGATGATGTTGCCACTTGGGTATTTCATGGTGCCCATGTTTCAGCCCTGTGCAGACTGCAAATTTCAACTCAGACCTTGATGAGAAAGTCTTCCTGCCAGGATAGTACAGCAGAACATCCCCTAGACAGCTGCCAGCTTGGGTTGCAGAGAATACTGCCTTGCCCTGTTCCTGATTCAAGGGCTCAGAGAGCAGATTCCATAATAATAACGATGATAGTAATGCTGGTAAGGTCATGATAGGTGACTCCCAGTAAGCACTTACTATCACCAGGCACAATTCTATGTGCACGGCATACGTCACCCACTTAATGGAAAAGAATCATTTCAGAGTTCCTGTGAGTGGGTGGCACCATTCATCCATCCTGAAATCGAAGTTCTGCCACTTTTAAGTAGCTCCTGGCATACAGCAGCAATTGACTTTGTGTGTTTCAGTGGCAGGGAAAGCTGCTGGAGCAAGTTCAAAAAGCCTAAGGTGAGACGTTAGGAAACTTGTCCTGTTTGCATGAGTCCTTGGCCTTACATCACCCAAGAAGCTCATCCTTAGAGCCACTCAGAAGCTCCTGCAGCCATGAGAGAAGGTCTTCCTTTGCATTTCCCTGCTGGCTTCATGAAGTCCACAGCAGAGGCTTTGCCAGGCTGGCATTTTTGTTTGAGCTAACATTTCCGCACACTAGCTGGTGAGATCAGGAGATACCTTGGTGGTGCTCTACAGGGTCGCAGGCTTCTGTCCTAGTAATAAAGACAGGGAGAGGTGACTCCTCAGCATCTGTCCAGCCAGGGGTAGGGCCATGTTTGGGTGGGAGACCCTACCCCCTGCTCAGCCTTAGTCCATGCTGGAGGCCTCTCCACTAACAGGGAGTGCAGGGTTGTGCTTGCTGGTTAGGAAGAAAGATGACTCATTCACAAAGGCCATGGATGGATGCATGTGAGCTGACCCCTGCTGGCACCTGTCCCTGCCCAGGGGAGCCTGCCTGGCCTGAGTGCTCATCACCACCTGGACACAGTACTTCCCAGAGAAGGGCAGGGACTAAAAGCTACCACCCTGATACACCCTGTGTCCCTCTGGCCAGAGCTGCCCTGAGGCCTGCCCACTGTAACATCTCTAGTTAGGTGACTCTGTAAGGTTCCTTCCCAGACAAGACCATCTGAGCTGGCTTTTCTGTCACCTGGTATAGTAGTTCATTTGTGTTGTTATAAAGGAATATCTGAGATTGGGAAATTTATTAAAAAGGTTTATTTTGGCTCATGAT